TATAGTTTTGTTGAAGCTTTGAACGTTAGGTAGTCTGAAAGAACTGAGCAATTTTCTAATTTATACGATACCTCAGGGTTACGATGAGGCCAGCATTTTCTAAATTCATATTTTACTCCGAAACCAACATAGAACTAAACTATCTGTTGATTTGATTATAATTAGAATATAATTTAGTTATATCTATGCCCAGTAAAGAAAGGTAAACAAAATGAAATTTTTATTATTACTTTTATAACATTTATTCAGACATTAGACTATTGATGAAAACATTGGTAAAACTTCTTGAAATGTCAAAGGTTGAGGGTAGTTATGGGGGCTCAGAGCGTAATTGTTGTAGGCCACTCGTGCCTGCACCGGCATCGTCCATATTTAATAAAACTTAACAACAAAAATAAAACAATAACAACTTAATCATGGAAAAGGGCAAAACAACAAGAAAGGCAGTAGCATTCACAATGGATGACAATCCCAGATTACGTATTTTGACAATTATGAATACCTCATAGTCTGACAAAATTAAAATAACTGTACTGCCGAAACTTTGAAGGGATTAGGCAACGTTTTAAATTTGGTAGAATTATAGTGACATGAGAATCGTGCCGAAACTATCCAACCCTGCTTCTTTAGGTTCTTTAAGATAATCACTTTTTATTGTAATAGTTATTAAATCATTTAAGTTAATCAAATACTCATAAATTTGTTTAATAGATAGCTTAAATGATAACAGTTAAGAATAGCAGCTGGTATTTAAGTGAATATGTAGCAAATTAGCCATCAGTCTTAAGGGTAACATGATTATTGATATTTTGCCACAAAGTATACCATAAAAAGAACCTTATATAACTTCTGTCTAATGCTATAATGAATGGAGTATATGCATGCACTAGCTTTCACCAGCGGCTTCGCCCGCATGGTCTCTAGGGAAATGTTTAGTGGAATAAAAAGACCTATTATCTAAGTCAGCTAATACCCTATCTGTAGTTTCGGTGTAATTGATAGACAAACATCCAAAACATCCAAAAAAGAAACTTTCACATTTATAATATTAATAGGCTAAAAGTTTGTGTAGCTTCTAAATAAGTTTGAACATAGTTTCACCTTTTTCTTTGACATCTGTCATCCGAGTTACTATGAAATTTATTATTGTAGATGTCAATAGTGGTAGCGGCGATAATATGTTTCCACATTCCACAATAGAAATAAAGAGGATCGAGGACGAAGATATTTACTAAAGTTTATATTAATTGCAAATAAATAACAATGATTTGCAAAAGCACCTGGTGCGATACAGGCATTTTAGAACTCAAAATTAATTGATTTAGAGTAATTATTTATTGCAAATACATTACATCATCATCACCAGCCCTTTTACGTCTCCACTGCAGGGGCTCAGGCCTTCCTTATGGATGGTTAAGGAGGATGGGCCATGAACCTCCACGCGGGCCCAATGCGGAATGGAAGGTATTAACGACTGCAAATGCAGCCGGGACCAACGGCTTTACGTGCCTTCTGAAGCACGGAGTAGCTCGAGATGATAATTTTTTTGGTCACTCATCCCGTGACCGACCCTTGCTACATATTCATATATTTTTACAACAGTTCTGCATTCCGTAGCCAAATAATGTTATTGCATTTTTTATAGCGCAAGCCTGTGTTTGATCTTTTAAAGTAGTTCAATATAGTTTACGAGGACACATTTGATTGATATAGTAAAAGTGTTATGTCGTTTGTTTGTGTACTTTTATGATAAAAGCTTTATTGTTATCCTAGTGTCCAATATTGATTTCAATATCTTTCATTCTATTGGATGCCATGACATAAAATGTGTTTCCTTTGTTTAGATTTTTTTGAAAAATGATATTTTTTTGTATTGTCAATAACAGGATGATTTTGAGAAGTTAGTAAGCACACTGTAACCATAGAGTAAGTAAGAAACTACTGTACAGTGATGAAAAATTTTGTACTTATGACGAAAAATGTATAATTAATTTTTAAGAAAATAAAAACTATTCTTTGTTGTAAGTTGAGTTGAAACACACCAAGTTCGGTTAAGCAGTTCTGACGTTTATCGCGGATAAGCATAATGTCACGAGATTTTGATATATGCATTTAAAAATTTTGAAACCGATCTTCAATGGTAATAAACTAAAAGTTATCTTCTATTTTTAGTATCGCTTTAAATGAATGTATAAAGAAAGTTGATAAAATAAGTTTGCAACAACAGCGGTTCATTAGATATAACGAGTTAATAAAATTCGTGAACAAAAGATTGTGGGAAAAAGAGAAATTGTTTTGATAAGTTCTCGAAATGGAAACTTCTTCATATAAGTTCTAGAGCTTTCTGTGGTGTTAGATAATGGAAAAAATAAACATATTTGGTGAGTGCGAGTGATTGTAGAGTCATTATAGTTTTATTTAAGTTTCTAAGTAGTCTATACTAATACTATAAATAGGAAAGATTTGATTGTTTATTTGTTTGTTTGCATTGAATAGGCCCCAAAACTATTGGACCTATTTTTAAACTTCTTTTACCTACGGGAAGCTACATCATATGCGGTGTCATAGGCTATATTTTATCCCGAAAAACTGCAATTACAGGGATGAAAATGGGATTGGAGGTTTGTATATGTCATAGTAATAGGATGACGACAAATTTTTGCTTTAGTTCTACGTTTGTTTAAGTTTCTAACTTTGTTAATTTGTAGGGGGTAATTTTTTGAAATAAACTTTTTTCATGAAAATTTATTCATCTACGGGAAGCTACACTATTCGCATCATTGGAAGTATAAAAGTTTATTTTTATTATATACTAGTTTGAGATACCATAAGCTCCCCTAATCTAATCTAGATATAATTGTGTTCAGTTCGCAAGGTTGCCTGGAACAAAATTATTTTTTAGGAATAAGGTCGCCAATTGTGCATTTATACATATTAATTGTATCCATATGTTTGTTTTCTTTTGTTCATTGGTGTACAAAAATAATTTTTCATTAATTAATTCATATATGAAATCTATCTAAAAAAAATAGTAAAAAAAAGTATATTATCTATATTCAAAAATTAATTTAATTTTCAAAATTTCCCGCGATAATGTCACTTCTGTCATGGCGTGGCTATGACGTTACAGCCCTTTGAAACATTATCGTCCTAGGTAAGCATAAGGTTGGATTCTCTAAGTTCTGATGTGAGTAAGATGGACGTGATGTCACGCGCTGTTTGCGGCCACGTTACAACTAATGTAAAATATTTGTGTTTAATTTAAGCAATATTATAAATATAATAATCATAAAAGTGTGATTATCGGAAATAGTTTTATCGGTCTCAACTAAAATGGCTTCCCATTCGTCAGCGCAGACAGTTACGACTGCTCTGTATGCTCTTTTCCATACTTTCTAACCCTAATTCTCCAAATTACCTTAAATGTAAATTTCAATACCCTTGTGATTCTCATGACAGACAACTGCGTTCTGCTAATACACTTGCATTATCTACTCCACTTTTCCATTCTGGCTTTATGGCCGACTCTTTCACCCTTCAAGCCATACGACTGTGGAATGGCTTCCCCGACACCATCAGACGATCTCCTGACAAATTCATCTTCTCTCCTGGAACGCTTATGAAGATCATCATCATATATGTATTATATTTATGTATTTGTATATGTATTTATGTTTATGTGTAGTATAATATTTATTTATGTTTATATAATAGTATATAAATTCTTCTAAAGTGTAGTTTAAGTAGTATATTTACAAGTTAACTTTATGCCGCTGTCGTGTATTTCTGTATCCCAAAGGTTGACTGGTAGAGAATGCTAATAGCATTAAGTCCGCCTTTTGTACCAATTTAATGGAAAATAAAGTTTGTTAAATAAATAAATAATACCCACCAATCCACGGGCCTGCGTGGGTCATGGCCTATTCTCCCTATGTGATTCCATCCAAAGAGTAGACCTGAACCCCAGCAGTGGGGATATAAATGGGCTAGCGTGATGATGACTGTGGAATTCTTCACAGTCTGTTTTACTCAAATTTAAGTATTTTTAATATAATCGAATAGGATAGAGTGCAAAATTGGTTTTCAGAATATTATAATGAAACCTTTTGATGCTTGAAATTTTGAATGATCCTTGGTATCTTAGTTACTCTATAGGGGATGTCTAGCTTTATGTTTCAGAAGCAACTTCAAAGTTCGTACGTTCATTATAATTTTGATAAACCATAGAACTAAGACAGATACTAGAATGGCGGCATTCCACTGTTTACACCGTTAAATATATAATAGGAATGGTGGCTAATTTTTCTTTGTCTGTCAGTCGGACAGATTTATAAAGAATATTAAGCCCGTATATTTAGTTTTGCACGTAATCAATAAATTATGGCGACACATTGAGTTGAAATGTCGCATGACGTCACATCTACGTACATTTTCTACATCGTTGTGTCGTAGCGGGCCCCACTCTTCAATTTTACTATAATCAGCCTTTTTACGTCCCCACTGCAGGTACTCAGGCCTTGCTTATTGATGGTTAATGAGGATTGGCTATGACCCTCCACGCTGACCCAATGCGGATTGGAGGGTAAGCTCAACTTAAAAGCTTATTAAAGCTATCTAAGCCATTTTAACAATAAAGTTAAAATGAATAAAAAAGTCGTATATAAATTATTCTCTTATCTCATTGACGGAAAAATTAGAATGTATTTCTTTTTTCATCAGACATTATTCTTATTATCGAGCACAAATTTTAGTATTTCTATTTGCATAGTACCTTCGTAATAGAAAAAAAAAAGGTTGTCTATGCCTGTTTAATAAAAAAAAGATGGAAGTAAAAAATCGTTGATTTTGAGTTTTTCTGATAAAACGCACCATTTAGAAGTACAGAATCGGCAGACATCGACAGCGGTATAAATCAAACTATTTAGAATGAGATGCACTGTCATCGCTCTCTTTTCGATTGACAGGAATAAACAAGTTAATTCTAAAAGAGTGTGTAATTCAGTCATGCACCGGCAGTGATTGAAGAAGTGTGTGCTGTCGTTTGGCGAAATTAGAATAATTAAGGAATAATTCTGTTTTGTTGTAAAAGGTGACTATTAAACATTTTCGATATTAAAAACAAAAAAGCATGATGTTTTAGTTACCTCGGTTTATTCGGAAACAAAATATAAAATATTGTGAGAATTTGGAGTTAATTCTGTTTTGTTTTAAAAGTTATTTATAGAGCATAGTGCGAAAGTGTAATAATTCGATTTTGTATAAAAAAATATAGCCTGGTCACTGAAGCAACTAGCTAAGCTTCACTGTCATATAAAATATTTTGATGTTTATGAAAACTATTTTGGTTTGCTTCATTTTATCATTTTAGATTATGGTTATAAATAAAATTTGTTTAGGGTTAATTCATTTTCTTGTTAAATTTCGTAAATGTTAACCTATTTTATTAGTTTTTAAATCTTTTAAGAATGACGTCTTGGAGGGCTAAGAAAATACTAGGCTTGATTCCTCAAGCAGAAAATAAAATCTATAATACCAATAAGGAAAACTATGAAGAGGTAAATACTTACATACTTAATTTATTTATAAATACTTTGGATTCTTGTTTATATATATTGATATAATATTTAAAATTATATACTTACATATTTTTTATTTATATTGCATAAACATAAAATGTACTGAACCAAGTTATATAAATTTACTACAAATATATATATACATATATATAGTGTATTATCCCGGAGTGTTTCAGCGCACTATTATTTTCAGCGCAAGAAAACGTCATCGTCCTATATAAATGATACAAACTATGCTAGGAAAGTGGAACATTTCTTTTTTTAATAAGAATATAAATTATACAATGGTATTAGGTTTCTTTTTTTTGTATTATATTGAAAACACTTTATTTTAAAACATAATGTACTTTTTACTTTTAATATAAGTAATACTTTCAGATTAAAAATAATCTTGAAATAGAAGAAGAAAACCAGGAAAATATGGTCCCACCGTCCATTGCAGTCACAGAAGTAGAAAGCACAGCACCGATAGAAGAATTATTACACACTGAAACACGACCTGTTAGTCTTGTATTTGACTATAGAAGCGATTCGACTGTAAGTGAAAATATGGAAGATAATGAAAAGCCAGAGAATGCCTCAGATAACTTAGCAGTCATGCATTCTAGACGTCCATCCTCACGGTCTTCCAAAGATTCGGTCTCTTTTAGGTCGTCATCATCTAGTTCATCGACATCTAATTCTTCTTCAGCGAGTTCTTCATCTGCAACGAGTTCTTCGTCGTCATCGTCATCGAGCTCGTCATCCAGCAATAATATGCCACAGGATAAAGACACTTGTGTACAAGAACTTGAGCCAAGCAGTGAGGATAATATACCACAAGTGATTAACGCTAATTTACAAGAACTTCGGCCAAGAAGTGAGGAGACTATATTACAGGAAAAAAATACTATTGTACAAGAGCCTAAGCCAACTAGTGAGGAGAATATACCATCTTGCTCCAGTTTGATAAAGAATAAAGACAAACAGCAAAGGCAATGCAGAAGTAAGAACAATGTGAATAATTATATTTCTCCTATTTACACTGATCAAAGCGATGTTGATATCAGTGATGATGATCCAACTGTGGATTATAATACAATATTTGATAGGCCAGCCAAACGAAAAAATTATCTATTTGGGGAACCAACTCCTTATTCTTCCGATTCTAGTACTAGTATAGAAGAAAATAGCTATAGAGGCCGAAAGCGGTCTAAAAATATTTATAAATGGCAGCAAATTAAAGCAAAACAGCTCAGAAATAGAGGCGAATCCTATGTTTCAATGTCAAAATCTCGTAAAGTAATTCCAGAACGCATTTTAAAAGATACGTGTACAGAAAAATGTAAGTTAAAATGTTCAGAAAATATATCTTCAGAAAATAGATACAAAATCTTTTCTAGCTTTTGGGATTTAGGTAGCTTAGTTGCACAGAGGGCTTATATCCGAACATGTATGGTAGATGTAACACCAAAGTACAAATATACTAATGCTGAACATCCTAGGCGTCCGAACAAAGCTTTCTATTTCACAATTGATGACAAGAGAATTAAAGTGTGTAAGACTTTCTTTAAAAATACACTGTCAGTTTCTGAACGAATGGTTTACACTGTACAATCTAAAATGAATGAAGGTTTTGCTATGAATGAGTTGCGAGGTAAGCACCAAAACCATAAAAAACTTGATCCAGAATTACTAAATGATATTAGGAATCATATTACTATGATCCCGAAAATATCTTCACATTATGTAAGATCCTCAACTTCAAAAGAGTACATAGGTGGTGATAAAACAATAAAAGATTTATATAGCGATTTTGCTTCGCAGCAAATGATCAATAACAAAGACGTCGGTAATTACATGGCATATTATAAAATTTTTACTGGTGAATTTAATTTGGGTTTTCATCAGCCAAAGAAAGATCAATGTGATCTGTGTGTCGCATATACTAATTCGAACGATGAACAGAAAAAAGATTTGGAAAATCAATATCAGAAGCATTTAGAAGAAAAAACTTTAAGTCGTTTGGAAAAACAAGTTGACCGCCAAAACATAACAAAAGATAACAAAGTTGCAGTTTACGATTTAGAAGCGGTATTACAATGTCCACGAGGCGATACATCAGCGTTTTATTACAAGTCCAAGCTAAATAGTTATAATTTGACTGTTACTGAATTGACATGTGGCGGAAAGAAAGCTTACGAAAATGTACATTGTTACTTTTGGACTGAAGTAGATGCTAAGCGAGGAGCAATTGAAATAGGCTTTTCTGTATGGGAATATTTAAAAAATGTGTCTGCCGAAGATGTAGACTTTAAAGAAATTACATTTTACTCGGATAACTGTTGTGGGCAGAATAAAAATAAATTTATAGCTACATTATATATGTACGCTGTAACTAATTTAAATAATATAACCAGCATAACACATAAGTTTTTAATAAGAGGGCACACCCAAAACGAGGCGGATAGCGTACATAGCTTAATTGAAAGAGAAGTCAAGAAAAACTTAAAATCAGGTCCAATTTACAGTCCACATCAATATGTTACATTAATTAAAAATGCAAAAAAGAGCAATCCACCGATAACCGTACATGAATTGACGTTTGACTCATTTGTGGACATAAAAGCTCTGCAAGAAGAATGGGGGTATAATTATAATGTTGACGAAGATGGAAATACTGTAAATTGGAATGATATTAAGCTTTTAAAAATGATAAAATCGGAACCGTTATGCTTTTATTATAAAACGTCATACAAGGATAGTACTTTTAAGAGAGTTGATGTTAGGAATAAAAGGAAGAAAATGCTTAACATAGCGGAAATTTCTTTAAGTAAAGCTTATACAGAAAACCAGGAACTAAGTGCTAATAAAAAAAAAGATTTAAGAGAATTGATAACGAAGAAGTTGATTCCTTCCTTTTATGCCATTTTTTACAATTCCATAATTTAATGTTTTGATCATTATAGTACCGAAGTAAAGAGTAATAATGTTTTTAGTTTGGTATGCTTATTACCTTTACTAATTATACTATCCTTTAAAGACTAATTAACATTTAGGATAAAGTGTAAGTTTGCTTTATGTTGTCATTGTAAGATTTAGTTTGTTTCTATAAGAGATAATTACAAAGACTGATTTATTTATAATTAAAAAGTTTTGATGCTTTTGGAAGACTATTTTTGATAAGAAGTTAGTTTATTTTTATAGTAATGCCTAATAATGATTGTTATTTAGTTTATTATAAATTAACATAATTAAAACTGTTTGGTTATTGAACAAATTTTGTTTTATTAAAAAAAAAACAAATGCATTCTATTTTTTTTCTTTAAAAATGACGCATTTAGTACAAGTTTTTCACATTTTCTTTTTGAATAATTTTAAAAGGATTAAATGTAAAATCTTCTCGAAATCACTACTTTTATAACTTGATTCTTAATATTTTTACTCATTGTCAGTTTCTTTTTCACATAAATAGAATTAACTCAAAGATTAATTTTTGGCGTCAAAATTATTAAACGTGGTTAAATTTAAACACTATTTTGTTAATAATATTAAAATCGCTAGTATTTATTTTAATAGTATTGGTAGTTCAAATAGACAATAGCAAATTACATTCTTTTTTATTTAGTATCAAAGGCGGTAAGGTAAAAGTGTAAAATTTTAAACGCCATTTCCCACAACTTGCTAATTTTGAGTTACATCTTTTTATTTCATATATAATCTGCACAATTAACAGAAGCTTATTAATATATATATATATATATATATATATATATATATATTTAATAACCATATCACAGACCAAGCGCGCTAATAACTGCGCCATCAAGTGCCATCTTCATAATCCATTACGCTACTTTTAAATATAATTTAATTTTCAACTAAGCAACAGCATAGTGCCGTTTCTAAATTATTATAGAGCGATGTGCATTAGGAGCATTATCTACAGCTATAGTAGCGGGAGTATGCACATCTACAATAAATGTAGAGCTATAAATAACAGAATAACAATGTTACAAAGAAGTGCAAATTATTTGAAATAATCAATTGTGCAGAAGTGAGTATATAATTGTTATATAAAACTATCTGTTAGCGGTTTTGTCCATGTGGAGTTGTATTTTTTTTACTTTATTAGATCAACAAACAGTTTCTCAATGAAATTACTTAAACTAGTAATAAGATTGTTGACTATAACTATTTAAATACAATTTACCATGTAGTTGAGAGCAATAGTTAAAAATTAAAGTCAAAAATTCTTTATTTTGAGGAATGAGTCTTCAAATTATAAGTATACGTATATGACGCGGTGTTAATTTCAGGTTACAAATAATTGTTTAATGATACATATCTTATATATCTTATATAATGGTACATTAATATTAAATATATCGACACTCATAAAATGTTTATTATATGTGTCAACAAGACGACACTAGGGCGAGTATTTACCAGATTTATTGCGACATTTTTAGTAGACAATAATTTAATTGGCACTTTATAACATAATCTATTATTAATCATGACAGAGCAATCATATTTGTTGCAAAAAGATCATACAAAATGCCCAGCAATTGCAATCTTCTGGCTTTGAGTGTGAGAATCTTATAATTCTTAAGAATTTGCCAGTAGGACAATTTACTACGGTGGCATTTATAATGTATATACGGCGTAAGAATTTCTTTCGCACTTTCTCGGTATTATCGGAGTATTTGTTATATTATGGATCCCATATGGAAGTGGCGTATTCCAGTTGAGAACGTATTAAATATTTATATAATAGAATATAAGTACATGTATTATACATACATATTCTTGAACCGCTATGTGTTTCTGGTGGTCTGTGTTTCAACAACATAACACTTTAATCGGCGTATTATGTAGTCTTTTATTTGTTTTATTTGCAAGCGCGCTATCCACTTTCAGAGAGCTCGTTTAAATGTTACTATAAAATTTGTCATTCATTTAATCTGTTATTTCTTTTTCATAATATAATATACATTTTCTCGTATTGTTCACTGAATTGTATTTTAATTAAACAGAATGATACTCAGTTGTGAGTTTAATTCATATAAACTTATCTTCATCCAGCGCATTAATCATGGTTTGTACAAGCTCGTGAGATTTACGCTAGCGGGAACCCTATTACAAAGACTTCGCATATTAATCACTTATCGAAAATATCTCTCTTATTTCTGATATTGTAACTGACTTAATATTCTAATGAAGTTACTTTTCAATAAGACTTCTCTGCGTGAAATAAAACAGGGAGAAAAAGACAGCCCTTGCTGAGTTTATAGCCGGTTCTTCTCAGTACAAGGTCTCCCGCCGTAGTTTTGCGAACCGATGGCGTAGTTTTCGACTTTCACAAGTGCTCTGTAAAAGCCTAAACTGAATAAACAATTTTGATTTTGTATTTTTTTTATTTCGCTGTCTGTCTGCCTGTCACCAGGGTGTATCTCATAAACCGTGAAAGTTTTACAGATAATGTATCACTGAAAATCAGAATAAAATAAATAATTAAGGGCGTTTCTATAAAACAACTATTGATATTTTTTGTCACCAGCTGTATTTTTTATTAGCATGCTCAATTTTCGACTTACTGGATTATATGCTATTGATATGTCGGGTATTTGCACAAATCCATTTAAATTTGATTGTGAATTCGTTTGTATTCTCATCGGTGAAGTGAAAATAATAGTAGAGATAACTAACCTATTTGGTCATATTTTTCAGGGTTCGCTGTAAATATCATATGTATAATGATATATACGTTGATATATATAAATTTGTTATTGATATTTATAATATTTATTGTTAGTTTGAGAATTGAGTCTGAGCTAGAAAATTAATTAACCCAATATGACGCTGGCAACATTGGCCCGAAGTCTTCCCGAAGCAATCTTACTAGAAATTTCGAGTTTACCCCATAATATCAAGGCGAAGTGCGAACAACTAGCTTTTTATTTTTTTCTGCAAATTTTATGCTTATGTTCACATCTAACTCAATCTTTATTTTACATTTGATTTAAAAGATCAAATATCAAATAAAGCCATTAGTAGTTTATAAATTGCAGCTTTTGATATGCATTATATGTATCCGATATATATCGGATAAATATCAAATATTGGATATTTTCACTATTCTTTATAATCATCCTAATCTTCCAAAGGTCTGTACACGATGTGTGTACTCTGTGCCTCAGATGAAATGCGGATCGAATAGTGTAGAGTTTTTAGACTTTTGAGGTTATGAACATGCTATAATTTTCGACAAACTCATGACACGAGATGAAAACGAGTTAATAAACATGATCCAGAACAGAATGTCAACAGGAAATTATGTAGTAACCAAGAGGGTGTAGTGTAGTGTAAACCATTTTTTATGAGACACGTGATACCGCTATCTTTATCTAGTCGGATAGAATTTATTAGAAAATTGTTGAACTCATTATATCAAAATATTGATTTAGACTTATTTAGCACAAGTATTCCACGAATAAAAAAAATATAATGAAAATTTCTTACAAATTAAAGTGCTATCCACTTTAATTTGTAAGAAATTTTCATTATATTTTTTTACTTATATCTTTCATGTCGTTTTATAATTTCAACTGATTGTTCTCATTAGTTAAATTTTTTTTCGTTTCACAAGCCTGTTTAAGTTATGTTTAATAACATTTTGGGTAGTACTTAACCTTAAATACTCAATTCAGAAACCGAGTGTTGATAGGGATGACGACTGGGTAAAAAAAATCCAATTCTATTTAGTCCGTCAGTCAGATAATAGAAAAATATTAGATGCGTATTTTTTTTTACTTCAATTTAACAAGAAATAACTTAGATAACAGGCATTAAAGTTGAGGAGTGGGGGCTTGCTACGTCACAGTTCAGTAGAAAACGTACCATAACGTGACGTCATGCGAAATTTCAACTCCATGTAACACCGTAATTTTATGATTACGAAAAAAATAAAAAAATACGTTTTTAATATTTTTTAACACTCTACCTGACGGACAAACAAACAAAAATAAGTCGTCATCCCTATTATCTATTTTATTCTTTTGTTTATTTGTGAAAACTTGTAATTGGCGTTATTGAGTTTATATAGCTTTATATTCCTCATCAGCTGTAAGTTTTCCAAAAATTGTAAGGGTGTAAGTTTTCCAAATATTGTAATAATAATAAAATAAAATTTGCGTACATAAATAAATATCGAATATAGGCGCAAGGAACTTAGTATTAACTTATAAGCTACTTCTTGTATGCCTATTTTAATATGTACATACATTTAATACAGCGTATTAAATGTATGTACATATTAAAATAGGCATACAAGTAAAATAGGCATCAGAAATATTAATTGAATATTTATTTTAATATTCAATTAATATTTCTGAGAAGTATCATATTAGAATCTTGTTATCGGAGATAAACCGTGCCGTGATAAAAACAAAGTGTGCTTATTTCTCGTTCCTACGTGCCTCATGATTTAATTAAAACCATTGTTATACTAATAGTCAAAAATAGAAGGGGTGATAGATAAAAATAAATACAGAGCAATTTCACTCGCTACTGTAATCGCAAAAATATCTGATCGTCTACTTGACAAGCAGTTGGTTAAGCGTTTAAAAATTACATGATTCAAAAAACGCAATCTTTGTTCTTTAGATCAAACAATAAAGATATTAACTACTTATTTAGGTGTTATACGATGAAAACCGTATTTTGTTTTGTTATTAAAGAAAATCTACTGATACGATTTCGATAAAATTTAAATGGGTCTGCCTCGGTCCATTAAACTGTCGAATAAAAAAGAATTTCGAAAATCGGTAAGCAATTGGCGGAATAATTGGTGAGCATACATAAAAAACATACATCGCCATCGAATGTACAACCTCCTCCTTTTGAATTTTGAAATCGGATTAAATTTTTAATGTCTGTTAAAACTCAAT